ACAACGTCTCATTTATCTCTCGTGTTTTCACGATCAATGAATTATAAAGCAAAATTTTCAACAACGGTTTAAATTTTCTCTTCACTTTTCAATAAGGAATGAATTTGGTGCGTTTTGGCTGCTTTTCTGTGTCTACGTTTTGCCCAGTTTTTTATGTAATGTTGGATTATAGCTTAACAACAAAGGAAAATTTACAGGCTAACTCTTCAAGCAAGATTATACAAGAACGTTTTAAATTGACTGAGATGTATGTGTTGGACCGTACACTCGGGGAGCAGCGATTCTGAAAGATCTGTCACCTCAGTACTGGTAAGATCTTGGAACAACTAGAAGATTTACCCGAGTTCTTTGTAGCGCTACAAGCAATTTTAGGTGTATATGTGCGCTTTATAGAAATTGTTTAATGTTATTATATATTTTACGCCAAAATTTGCATCGTACTTTGAATCCAAAGTTGCTCATTCTCCAAATGAAATAGCATTCTGAAGTGAGAGACCATTTCAGAATGATTCATACATAAGAACATGTAAGGATCGGTGACGCTCATTTTGGGTGGTTTGTAAAGTGGTTCGCAAACTGCTAACCATACTTTCATGAAGTTGTTATAGCATTCCTCAATTTCATAGAGTCCTCTGGTGGTTTTAGTACGGTAGGTCTTGCTGCAATGACACACGTATAATAATGAATCCAAGGCGGTAGATGAAGAGAAAAGAATACACGTGTATATCATTTCATTTTCATTTATTTATTTATATGTATATAAAGTATATGTATCCAGCACTGACTGTCGATGTTTTAGCCTAACCCGTGCACGTTAATGAATGGAATAACGGTGTGCATTCAGGCGAAAGGTCGACAGCAAGAGTGTCATAGACTCGGACTCCATGTTCGTTTAACAACGGGTAATAAGTTAGAGAATAGACTCTGAACTGTAGATTCGTGCAACAATGGCCGAGGTGAAAGCACGAATCTACAGTTCCTCGTCCATCCTCGTCGACAGATTAAACATAAATGATTGGTTTTAATTGTCCACCAGTATTACGAGTCACTGGAATGTGAACAGCAATTTACAATGATCTACACATAGAACATTACTGTTTGCAAAATGAGTTCTGGCTTTTCATCCTACCTCTGTGATGTCATACTCTGTGTTGCAATGCTGCGTCAGAGCTTTTAAAACGTCGGGGAAGCGCTGCTCTAACTGGTATCTGAAATGGGAAACCAGAAATAGTTTTCTTCAAGAAATGTTCCTTTTGTTCAAAATCTTGTGGACAGAAAGCTGTACGGTGGCAGAAACCATGCTCACATACTTCAATATACTTCACACTATTCATGACCTTCAGTCTTGTACAAAATGTTTCTTAATAACAAATGTCATTTCACTCTTTGACTTAACATTTTGTTGACGGATATTTAGCAGAAATTGCAGAAAAAATAGTGTTTTGAGAATGTCATGAACTTGGCAGCGTCCCCGTCAAGAGCAAATGGTCATTCTCGCATTAAGGCTGTAATTAACCAAAGTTAAGACTTAATAACCGCACATCAGAGAGATTTTGAGAAACAGTTTGGCTTCGGCTTATAGCTATCTCTGGCATTACCGAATCATTCATTTGGACTTACCTCAATGCTTGCATACCATGCGGTAGATGTCATTGAGAAAACAAATGCGTCATCTTGAGATCAAAATAAAAACATGCTGTGATTTAATACAAGATGCAGAGTTCGCAGTGGGTTGTCTCCTGTGATCGGTATCGAAACAGTATTATTATTATTATTATTACTATTATTATTGAAAATAGCTTGGAACGTCGAAGCTTGAAGGAAATGAATTACTCTTCTCTAGCTTATTTTTGAAAAAAAGGGTATTTTTTTTTAATTTTTAAGGTTCATCGGGGATGAGGGTGATGTACGCTCCGAGGAGGGACTGGAGTGTCCGGGCTCGTCTCAGCGGTTTCTTTTTGTTGGTGATGCTTGGTATAGTTGAAGATACATGTGTCCCGAACCATAATAAAATATTTTGATCGCAATCTTTATCGAGACACCGAATGATTTCCTTCCTCATCATTATTGATCATGAACCCCAAAATTGGCAACCGTCTAGCCAACACTTTTTTCGTCCAAGCATCCAGAATTTGCTGTGCCTCACGTATTTTTTTGTGAAACCGCCTGCACGAATATACACATATTACAGCACATCGCTTTATGACTGCATTATTTATGGTGCAAGTAACTATTAAATATTACTTCTCTTGTATCAACCCGAACCCAAACGGTCATGTCCCGAAGAAGAACGATTCGTTTATGCTTTACGCGGTCGATGTCTTTTTTGGTCAAAATGCACCAAACTCTCTTCACTCGTGCAAGCATGCTTGGCTTACTCTAAATACATGCGGCCTACACCATGCTATAACTGACACGACAAAAGCTTTCAATCTTGCACTAGTACAAAGTCAAATTTGGTCATCAGTAAAAAGTCAGATCACGAAAGTCATCCATGGAATATACGATGGCACTTTGTCACAAACTTTTCCTTACGCCAACACGACAATTAGTAGTAATATATTTAACAATGGATAATGTTAGGGTATTATAAATTCATTAGGCTAGATACTGATGCTTCATGAATTAATTGCAAATTGCCTATTAATAATTTTATTTAACAATATTTTGGTTGAACTTCAAGCTAAGTGATGCTACTGGACCAATACTTCAATACACTAAAGTTTTCTCCTGAAGTCTGTTGAAAATCATTTACTACAATGTAACTGAAAGCACAGGTTCTTCACTTTCAAGTTCATGGAGCTAAAACCTGACTCAGGAAGACCACATGAATAAGAGGATCTAATCTTACAGACATTAGTTGATGCAGCTCTTTCAAGTACACACAATTTTGACTTTAATGTTTTATGAGGACATGGTAATGTTATACATTCATTATTAACACCGCTGAGTACAGTAGTAATTTGTATGCCAGGCGTACATTACTTTCATTAATTTTTGTCGATTATTATAGAAGCTATTTTCCAGGCTTACTTTTCGACATTTTCTCCTAGGTATCAAAACGCATACCATTGATAGCATTGACATTACGAGGATGAAGAAATTAAAAGATTTGCCATGTATACTGACAGCTCCCCTGACAACATTGCTGACTTACGCTTTCTAAAATCAGCGAAATTATAAGATTTATACTTGCAAAAAAACCCGGAACGTTTTACAAATGATTTCAACATGAATATGCATTTTATCGATCAGTAGTGTTTCATTTTTCGAAACAGTGTGTTGATTTCTTTGTAATCTATTTTTTCCAACCCATTTGGAAAAGTTCTGACGTAACAGTCATTAGTTTGGTGACAAGTCACACTTGCAGATTTTCGAGGTTCTTCCTAAAGGACGTATACTAAAATGGCTCAGTTATTGTCGGATCTAGTCAGATTTAGCGATGCAGCGATGTGATTCTCTCCATTGTCTCTCAACCACTGGCCAATGATGTCTGCATTTTGCTCCATCCACTCGATGTTGCTACGACATTTCTCAAGCGCCTGCTGAAATGCTCGGGTAGCTGATCCAAGGTGCCTCCCATTGACAAAACTATTCAGCTGTTGTGAAACAAAAACAAAAACAACATGGGTCGTCATTTGTAGCAAAAAGGTTACAAAAGATTAAAGTTATCGATCAAAATAAAGAAATCATAAAAGGTATTTGTTTTAATTTTAACTGGTGTCATTTTTAGTACAAACTTTTAGTAAAAACAAAGATGTAACTTTTTACTGTCATTCGCTTGCCGGCGAGAGCTGCCCCATAATTGTAGCTAGTACTAAAACAACACAAAGACACTGCGGTTAGTGACTTAAATCAAGATGGGAATAGGACGGTATTAATCCATATATTCATCAGCGGAATTTAATAGGGTAGAAACAAGGATTTTGATTGTAACAAGTAAGGTTGGTCTAAATTTAGAAATTTACCAAGTGCATGAATTAAAAGCAGCATCAGAATGCTATAGACGAGTACACACGTGAAAGCTGCATTTCTAGTTCTACGTCTATATGCTTGAAAGAGGGTTACAGAATATGACATGCTGCTGAATATCAATGCCACGATTGCACACAACACTGTCCGCTGGATTCAATCTTAAGTAATAATGGCCAACAGCTCATCGTGAGTTGATTAATATAAGAAAACAAAACATGCTTGTTAAAAAAAAGACCTGTTAATACAACTGTATGTTGACAGCTAAAGCACAAAGAGCCAACTTCCAGAGTTCAAAAGTTACCTACCTGTCTCAGTTCAAATTCCATGTTACAGTACCGTGCGATTGATCGAACCACATTACTTAACCAAAATGCACTCTCTCCATAGCTGCAGATGTCGAAGAGAAAGTCTTAGTTTAGCAATAATCAGAAGAATTTTCAGTAATAAAACTGTTCGTTCAAAAACGTAAATAAATAGAATTTTTGAGATTAGGCGTAGCTGAAGTTGTGCAGTGGTATAACCTCTATATAACCTCCCATCCAAATATTTGTCACCCTTTCAAGACAATCTAGCTCAACGAGACGTTGAATTCCTCTTTGGGTAGGACAAAGAGATTAACCTGAAACATTTGGCAACAATTTTTGGCATATTTTCCAACAAATGGTCCAGGCAATGATCCAAATGCGGGGTAAAGGGGTTGTTAGCACCCCCTAGTTTTCCTCCTTATTTAAACTCTCGGAAGTAATTAAAACAGAGCCATTTAAGCAAAACCTACAGCAAGAAACTGTTTAACACAAGGCCTACTTCCCGTATTCCGCTCTGAAACACTAAATGATCTTTACATTCCGTATGTGCTTGATTGAGGAAAAAATCACAACTGGTCTCAGACTGTAGCACTCGCTGTCCAAAACTCCCCCAGAGCAAGCTTAAGCACACAGTGTCCAAAAGTTCAACTCGATTTTAAACAAACCGTTGTTTCCTGTAACGATAACAGCAAATACTGCAATGTCTTGGAAATGTCGAGAACAGCAGGAAGTCTCCTATTTTTGTAATTTAGGGGGAAATGGGGAGATAGATGCAGAACTGAACGCTTTCGAGAGATCATCATCTTATGAACTTTTGGGCTTGTCATATCTGGTAGCTTCAATAAATCCACTCAGCAAGACTGTCCCTGGTAGTTGCCGAGATTTTTTTCCAGGGAAGTGGCAAAGCACTCATTGGCACTTGTGGCCGTTAATGGCCGTTGAGGGCAGTCCAAGTTTTTCAAGCAAACTAGTAATTTTCATTCCACTTCCGCTCCCCTCCCCCGACACGTTTTCGTTTTTTCCAGGAGATTGGCCCACTGATGTCACCTCCATGAACCCCGGACAACAACAATAATCCCTTCTCCTTTTGTTGCAGAAGGCCTACTGTGTCATTCTAGGTAATCTCTTTCATTTAGAATAATTGTTATTTACAAATATGCTATTATGAAGGACAATTAAAATCGTGCTTTTCTTTGAAGTGCTCCTGGTTTTGATCTTTTTGTTGAGACTTCTCCCATGAATATGAATATCATTTCAAGACTATAAATGACAAAGAAGTTAACATCTTTCAAGACATTTTATAATTTGCTCTGTTTATTGGCTCAACTTATGCAAACGTATTCCTGATATTCATCAGAAAATTGATACATGGGTAGGGAATATCTTTTTACAACTTCTACCATTATACAAAGAGATTATGTATATACTTATTCAAAATATTAAACAATTTTAGAATATAATATTAATATAACTAAGTACAAAATCATTATCGTGGTGCACAAACATGAAATTAAACATCGTATGTCACAATACAGAGAATCAATAAGTTGTAGATTAATATTATCGACGTACAGAACACTGAATAGAATGCACCAAGGAGATGTAACTACAATGAAATACTACTTAAGCCATTAAAAATAAATGAAATAGTCAAAATCAAAAAGTGGCAATGCAAGTAAAATTCAGCAACAACATTGATCAGATCTGTGAGGAACAAGTGCGTGGTTATCGTCATCGTTTTTCCAGTACATAATTATATCAGCAGGGGCAAATCCAGCTCGGGGGAGGGAGGATGGCTGGAGATTTTTTTTTGAATGTCTCATTTTTGCGAACAAGAGGAAACGACAATGAAACATTTATGCATGACATACATTGTTTACAATGGTACTGGTGCAATTACTTGTCTACACCTAGTTACATGTTGTTTTTTTCTCCACTTTTCACTAGTCCTTTTGGTTTTGGTTTAGTTTCAGAGCAGGGAGGTTGACCCCGCATAGCCCCCCCCCAAGATCACAGACTAATTTTGAGATGTGCGTATAATTTCCACTTAAAAGTGATAAGACGCATTGGATATTGGGTTAATTGAAGCAATTGAGCAAATGACAGTTAAACTCATTCTGCTAAAAGAGTACGGAGATCACTCCCTTAATATATTATTGCTGAAGCTCTATGTCATACAATCCACAATGACAACACCCTATAACAATTTCACCGGATACGATGGTCTAATCAGGATTAAAATGTATAGGAAATGATACATTTAGGATGGTAATTTTACTTCATCTTTCAATTCTACGTCTCTCTTCAAAATATTTAAATTTTGACGGCCTGAACAAAGTGACCAACGCACACTTTTTATTTAGCCTACACTGTTTACTTGATAAGATGTAAAAAAAAATGTGTAAAGTACCATCATCCCATCTGTTCATTAAGAATCAAATAATTATACACCACACTTCATTTGATATGATTTTAAATTCTTGGTCCCTAAGAAATTTCGATCTACATTTATGGAGAATTGATCAAAACTGTCCAAGTGTTTTTCAATAGAACGGAGAGCCTACAGTATGGTCTTACAGGTATCATGGCCTCCCACCTTCGTTGCAACCACATCAAGACACTTTGAGTCTTGTGATCTTTCGCTTGATTTTGTATTTCAACAAAACATAGGCAATTTATACCTGTGGTGTAGTGCGAGGGTACGTAATGTGACACTTTGATGAAGTTGTACCGGCATTTAATGCTTGTAGTTAGTAACAAACAAAACTGCTCATTGTATACAGTAATATCTCATTTGATACATGCTTATGTCAATATCGCCGTATTACCATCTGCAAGTTCTCATTGCGTCTACTTTAAATAACGGTAACAATATTTTCTTGTAGCCATTTTTCGATGTTTTCCGCGTTTCGGGTCATCCAGCCAATGTTGCTCTGGCATTTCTCCACCGATTGCTGGTATGCACGGGTTGCTGATCCAAAATTCCTCCCCTCACCGAAAGCATTCAACTACACAGTAAAAAAACATGGACATTGACACAATGTGAGAAAACGTCGAGAAGCTGGATAAGAAACATGGGGCGTACAAGGGAAAGTGACGTGAGGCTAACTTCCCTCCCAAACAAATCCATTTCACTTCCACTATAACAACTGCCTTCAAAGAATTGTACAGAAGGACGAAAACAAACATGCAAACAAAGAAACAAACACCCCAACAAACAAAAAGAAACAGTAAAACAGTGATAAGCCTACTGAATGGAGGTGATGTGCGTGGACTGAAAAGTATTTCATGAGATGCCAAAAAGATGTTCTGTACTTTATGAAAGATACTATATCTGATTGTACTGTATGACACAATTAAACCGTACATGTGCTACCAAACAAATGACGTACATGGATGGCACGATGTGGCAAAATAGGAACTTAAAGAAGCATAAAGAAACATACACATGACTTTTCTGAAGCACGTAAGTGGACGAAAAACGTCAACTATAAATATTAATATCATCTCATTTCAGAAAAGGAAAGAACAACCTGATGCTTAAATAGACAGATTCAAATAATCCCAAGGCAGTAGGCCTACTGTGCTGCAGTAAAATCTCCCGTACACTGTCGGTTCTATGTAAAAAGTAGGGCTTACTTGGAAGCGCATTTAGTATGAGGAGAAAAGCATGTTAATGACAACAGGGACAATTTGGGTATCTTAAGTTTGAATGACATCGAAATACATAACAAAGTGTATAAGAAGCTTAAACGAGATTAAGTTCTAACATTCAAAAGGATGTTTTTAACACAATACATTCTGATATGTGAATATGGCCCAGAAGGAATGAATGAATGAAGATGGGACTTGTGGAATCAATGAAAATATCTCTATGACTAATGAATAAAATGTCATATTTCAAAGTTCAACGGTTCTTACCTCTTCCAGATCAAAATCCGTGTTAAACTGGGCAGTTATCGACTCGATCAGATTACTGAACGAGAAAGAACTTCCTCCATAACTACGTGTGTTGAAAGAAATTCCAAGTTTGTTAGTAAAATCCTCACAATCGTAGAAATTGAGTGGTGGTGTACTGTTTTTGATTTACTTGTACGGATGTAAACAGCATTCATTTTCCCTGAGATCTTTCAAAGAAGTGTCCCTGACTTGTTATTAACCAAGAACGTCGCAAAATAACAAAATCAACAAATAAAAAAGCCTTTTCATTGCCTGACTCTACCGCGGAGGCCAGATCACGTGCAATATTGTGGCATTTAGAGGTCAATCATAAATTTTGTAATTCTGGTCGGAGAACATGGCTTTTTTGCGAAATCTTGAAGATCCAGGCACAATGCAAACTATTCATCTTTGTTGGAGATTTCCGAGTAAGGTACCCGCTGAACGTGTACACTTTTGTACAAATTTACTCGATTTGAAATATCAGTTTGTTTTACAAACTTCAAGATCACACAAGATATTTCATCAAGCTCAACAAATAAACAAAATAAAGGAAATCGAAATTATGCGCCGACGGTATTGTAACCATCGAGGCATGCACGACGTTTTGCATTGAATGTTTCGACTTTTTCCAGTGCAATAAGAACCCCAATGCACATGCTTTTTTCTGGAATGAAACGAGGCTTACTCGTTGTAGAGTTTGTCCCAATTGGCTCTGACGAAGTCCCAAGCAAGCGCTCGGCCAACGTAGTTCTGGGCAACATAGCGGATGACGTTGATGGTATCACCTTGCGGGATCTTAATCGTAGAATATTCTAAGAATCTAGAAATGAAGAATGTTAATAAGTTACTGGTTTTTAGCAAGCCATTCCATGGTTTAAGTCATTGACGACTTGGATTCTTGTTAACTTTATCTTGTGAAATTGGCCGAGAGGTTCACAAAATCGTCCGCCAAAATTTTATTGCAGTATTTAATCCCAAGCGGTTTTACTGAAAACATATTTTGTTACATGAGCTATGAACTGAAATTGTCATTTGACATTTTGGCCTGTATAAAAGACTGCACGGTACCATATACAGCCTCCTTATTACAAAGTAGTACTGTTTCCCCATCTAACACTGTTTTATAATTGCCGACAAATATCCAAACTATTAGCCTATTTATATGAATTAAAGTTTGCCACAGCTCTTTCGTATTTTGCGAGTTATCATAGGGAGGCTTTGATGCAGGTATCTACATGTACGTGAACACTTCGGTGAACTCTACATATGGCAAAGGCCTATAACGGACACACCACCATGCAACCTTCCAAGTCTTAAGGCCGGTTCATACTTCAGGTGAATGCGAAAGCGAAGCGAATTGGAAGTCACGAAAATTTTATAGCGAAATTTTGTTCAAGTTGAAATGTGCTCAGCTTTTGCGAACTCGTAACGTAACACAATTGTCTGATCTGAGGTCATAAATTCGTTTCCGCTTTCGTGAAAGTGTGAAAGCTTTTTACTTTTCTTTAACACACTCCCATTTCGTGAAACGCATTGAAAAGTGCACACTTTTAAACAATCGGAATTATCTGTTTTTCCAGACTACTGGGGGCGCTGTTGGTGTGAAGTCATCCAGGGAAGACATGGTTCAGTGTATTTTCTATTCAAATTGTGAACCCAGAATTTACCAACTAAAAACATTTTGGAGAGAGGGATTGATGGTTCCTTATTGCTATACACATAAACAACAATGAATCAGCAAAGAAGAGAAAACTTAGTCCAGGAAAATCTACAAAAATGCAGGACTTTTTTGTGTAAAGACCAATGTAACATTGAGGCTTCTTCCTGGGACGACATCACAGTTTTGCTCATAAATATTGAAATACTCATCAGCATAAATTCCAAAAGGGCATTAAAATACCCTATGAAATAGTGAAACCAAGGTTTAAAATAAGGTTGAGGCACAAAGGTGCATTTTACAGGTTTGTAATCAAAACCATTGATTTCAGCCGCCCTTCCAATTTTTGGCCACAATCTTACCTGCTGAGTATCCAGGGTTCATTGCTACACGCTAGAGCACTCAGCCACTTGGATTTCTCCGATGAATCAGTCGTGTTGCCGTATCTCTCCCAACCAAATTCCCACTCGTCCTGTCCACCATAACGAATGCCGTTACAGTAGACGACTGATTTCAGATTGGGCGTGATTCTAATCGAAATGGTAAATGGAAAGTGAAGACGTAGATAAAATACATGGATTGGTACTCTTCAGTGGTAACTCTCTGCGTAGTCATTCATGGATAATTCACTAATAGTTCTTTTGGCATGTTAATGTCGATTTCGAATTATTATTAATGGCCAGCTTTTTCTGGAAGAAACATGACATTGTGCAGGTTTGTAAAGCTTGGTATGCCCCCTTTTCTCATCCAAAATTAAGGTTTGGTCCCAAATATTGATCGCTATATGAGGTGGTTATCGGCTGCCAGTTCAAAGGGTTCTTTATGAAAATGCAACATAACTACTTACGGATTCTTATCTGGGTTGCTCATGTATTCCTTATACAGCCTGGAAGCCTGTGTAACACAGTCCTTGTGGCCGTAGCGGCACGCTGTCCCTAGGGCGTTGATTCGGTTATACCTGTTGACGAGAGATAATTTAAGGTTAAAAAGAGAGCTGGAGAGGCAGGCAGAGTAACTAATACACCATCATAAAAATCAGAAAATACCTAAAACCTGGGGTTAGAAGACGAAATAAACGGGCAGTAACTCTGAACGGTTTCTTGAAGCATTGCTGTATATGCTCCGTACAAATACAATTGCTGATCCTTTTCCCCTTATTTACAGACACAAAATTGACACACCTAATGATTTTCTTGACTTGAAGGTATGGAAAAAGGCATAATAATTATCGCATAGCACCTGAGATTTCCAAAAGGATTCCAAACGCTCTACATAAAAACACCTTGCCTTGTAAACTGACACAAAATGTATCATTAATAAACACCTGGGACGGTTTCACTTTTCCTATATTTATCGACAATGCGTCACATGACTGTGTATTATTAAACATTTGATACTGCAACTGCAAATTTGACAATACCTACTGCGTAAAAGGGGGTCTGAACCTGGATACGGAATGTTCACTTTCGCGTAATTTTAATACGTCACGGATCTGCAGTAAGCATAAATATTTGTAGTTCAAAGAAACTCAATGATTCCCCAAAAGTAAGGTAAGGAAAGTTTGCGGTACAGACTCAACCTTTCTTCAAGGCCATTTATAAACCAACTTTCTTCAAATTGTCCCATATTTATTTATCCTGAACTAGGAAGGTTAGAATGTTGCAAGGAATATCGTCTGCATACGTTTTAACATGACATCTGAGTCATGTCGCTTGATATCTAGTCACCATGAAAATTGCAAACATGTAAAATGTAGTTTCGCCGAAAATGTAACAGAATCTTTTAAATTTAATTGTTGCCGTATTGAGAAAACAAACAGCAAATGTGCCAGTTTGCTTTTTTGGTGAATGACGCCTAATTATGGATAGCAAATAGGAAGCAAGAATGCCGAATGTTCGTATTTTTGTCCGTCCTTGCGGCTTTTTGACTTTTTTAACAAAGAGGTGTTTATAAATGGGAAAAATTGTGGTTGATTGTGTCTAAACACGTGTTTGTAACCGGTGTAGGGCCTGTTCCTCGCCAGTAATAAATTCAAATTTTATACACGCTCACCACTGTTTGTTTCCAAGGTGTAGACATAATTGGTGGTTTTCTAAGAGGCACCGCAGCTATTGTCTCAATAATGATGGTAAAACTTACTAGATGAAGTAATGCAGACGTCAATGGGTGTGGTAAGCCCATTCTTGAACCTTGCACAACTTTATTGTACTGCCTCCTGAGATTATTATCCTATGAATGAATGTTATTCAAAGGCAAATCAAGTCAAGATGGAGTACAATATATTTGTGCAAGGTTCACGATTGCGCTTAACAGATGCATAAAATACTTACTGAGTCAAATGTGTATTGGCTGGATCAGTGATATTGTCGTCCCATCCAAGTTGGTCATATAACGGCTCAATCTGTCTCAGCATGTATTTCTATAAATCAAAACGGTTTTTTAGTCTAGGATATGACAATCCTACAAAACGATTCCCCATTTAAGTTTGCTTAACGAATTACGGGAAAACTGGCTTCCGTAAATCTTAGCCCAGTGGACAAATTCACATCACTTGACCTGAAACCCAAATCGCTCATTTATCCAATATTTCTGAAACGGTGTCAAGATAACAACGAAAGTAAATGCCGTGAACCTCTACCTGAGGTCGTTTTATAAAGTTTACATTTTTGTCAAAATAGTACCGTTAAGTATTAACATAAATCCCGTGTCAAAGTTTGTACCTCAAGAGGGCCGTAACCGGAGTAACGGCTGAACATGTCCCGGATGTAGGAGATAACAACCAGTGTGGATTCCCATGGTAAGTATTCCCTCTCTTTCGTCAGGTATTTAGTTAGACTTAACGCAGTCGTCTGTTCGATTACGCCTGCCCTGGCAAGATTGAATGCATCGTCGATAAGGGCAGCTCTGTTTTCGATTGGTATCACCTTGAGGCAAAAAAAGCGGGAAGAAACATTTTGGGTAGGCCTATATGCGAATGTTAAACTCCCGGCTGGTACACCATTAAAACTCTAGTCACACATGTATTTCATATTCACACGTACAGGGTCTGTCATCTCGATCGTAACACAATCTTCCTGGTCCCTTGCAGACGGATAGTGATGGATTATAACATCGCAGATCGAGCAACTTTCAAGATTAGAATTAGACAAATAACATTCGAATGCCTCCCGTTGGCCCCCGTCTCCCCTTCACAACTCACCGTGTGGTCAGCCATCAATTGTTCACTAAGTCGTTCCCAGTTCTCTAGGTCGTAGTTGACTCGATAGTAACCATACTGCTTAATATTGACCAGATACCAGTCATTATCGTTGTAACTGTCACCCAAGCTCAGTTCAACTGTGGAAGAAAACGAATACTGAGCAAAGAGCTCTTTAAAATAGCTAAAACCTTAAGGAGAGTAGATGACCCTTTATACATGTAATGTACAAGCATGGAAATGCTTATTTTATTTAACTGTGAGGATGCCCACACGCGGAAGCTCACTACACTTGGTTCTTAATGTTGACATTTTGGGTTTGTTTTAGAACATCAAAGAATACCTAAAAGAATGTTCTTGATATAAGATAGAGTACCGGTTTCTTGGTCATTTTTGAAACTTTAAAAGCTATTCGAAGCAATAAAGTTTAAATGTTAAACTGACGTTGTCTGAAGGTGCATCCAAATCTACTGCCTCGGGCTGGCGCTTGGCCTTCACTCAGTGGAAATATGCGGAGAAAGGCTGACAAAAATCGGAGCCGTGGCCCGAGAAGTCCGTGTCGGACACAGCCTACTAATAGCATAAGATAATGATACAGAGAGAACTTGGGGGATAAGACGGCGCTCCTTACCACTTCGTTCTTTATTCATCCACATTGTCATCGGATTGTCGTAATCTTGGTAGGATTTATGTGCGTAGAGCAGGTAAACATACCACAAATACCTGTTCAAGGGAAATGAATGAATCAGTGCATTTCGGGAAAAATTTATAAGGGTAACTCTGACTCTGAAAATGGGGCTTCCAACTACTGTCCCATTTGTTCCCTTCACCATATCTTCGAAGGTTGAAGTCGTCATGCAACGGACTTATAACAAAAACTGAATTCTACCCTCCCATCAATTCCAAAAATGTTTTACCTGGGTAATGTTTCAGATCTCCTATCTTCAAGAAATATCTCCGTCTTACTCGGTAAGGTGGTGAAAGAAGTATTTTGTCCATTATTTCGGGATACCAAAGCTATCCTTTGATAAAAATCATATCCTCGACAAGTGACTTGTGTTTTAATAGTCTGACCTATATTGTTTGACTTTGTATTTTCTTTTTGTCCTTAAACGCTGTGTATTTGCCGCAACATTTTCTACCCCAGATTATTGAGAGCCTTACCCTAGGTTCCCAAACTTTCCGTCCTCCACTGTGCTGTTCGGGTTATTCAAGAAGTGCTTCTGTGTAGCCGTAAGCGAGTTTCCGTTCCTCTCGAAAGTCACGTACGGGTATCCCATCTGAAGAGTCCAAGTGTCCATGATTTTCTTTACGTCGTTATTTCCTATGCCTTTATCGGCCTGAAAAGCAAATGCGATTAAAGGATTTTGTTAAGTATGAGAGATTATCAGGAAAAGGCACTGCAAATCCTGTGGAGTTGGATTAAACCGTATGATATCCATATATGACCGTCCTATAGAAACCAAACACTCGCTGCAAAAACAAACAATTAAGAAACGTTGGGTGTGCACTCAAAGGATTTAGACAAAGTCGATTTTCCCCCATTATTAATGAAGAACTAAATAAGATTACAAGATATCACGCATTTCAATGACAAGCTTCATAAATGAGTTTAATATGTACTATCATATCGAAGTTCAGGTCAATCACAGGTAAAACTTTTAATTTTGCTCCAGTGAAAAGTAGGCCCTACGTGTCATTGAGCTCATTTTCAGAGATTTATTAAGACTTTTCTTCAAAACGGTGATTGTTCAGTGGTCTTATTTTCCGTTTCTCGAAAGGTATTGAATTTTTCGGGAGGAAATCACGGGTAACCAATTGTATACTTACATAAGTGAGTACAGTCCACAAGTCGTCAGAGTTTGCGTTGCCATAGAATCGTTCAAAGAGGTAATAATTTAGGCCCATCTTGAAAACTTCCTCAGTCAGAATGTTGTCCAGCATGCGAATGATTGAGGCTCCCTGTTTTAGATTGAGTTATATACGAAATGACTGGAACTTAATGAGGTTCAGAGAGTCACGTGGCAAAATGCGGAGTTGGAGGAAAATCTTTCGACTTCTGAGCCCTCCCAACCTGCCTTCAACACACAGCGTAAAAGTACAGTTATAACAAAGTTTCTGGACTATTTGAAAAAACGAAATGTGTGTTATAAATGCATGTTTCTGTCCATTGATAAATTGGTTCAGTAGCATACCTTTTGATAGGAGATCGAGTCGAAAATTTCGTTGATTTCTGCAGGAGCTCCAACGGGTACCTTGACCGGATGGGATGTACCCAGGGCATCCTCAGTAAAAACCGGCTGCAGGTCTTCAACTAAGAATTGTAATTTCTGCGCAGAATGGAGAGGGACGAGTTGACAATCGAAAAATATGTACATCTTTTTTTGAAATAATGAAACTTGCTTAAATGCCGACTATGAACAAACTTTCCAGTTTTCGCTGACAGAAACCACATTGTAAATAAAACTACACCGATTTTTTTCTTAACAACTGTGTTTCTGACCCATTCGAATTTGCGCAACTTTTCTCATCATCTGCGGTCTAAAATAGATCAGAGACCAGTTAAATGAATTCTAAGTTTTCAATCAGATGCAAACAGTTACCTGATTTTCAGTACCACCATTTAACTGATTTGAACTGAAAGTTTGTTCCACATACCATCTGCCACTCTGTTTCGACTTTGTCAACTCCCAAGTATTCCACGTAGCTTGCAAAACCTTCATTTAGCCACAGGTCATCCCACCACTCAGGAGTGACAAGGTTACCAAACCACTAAGGAAAATAGGGGAAAGGTATGCTTAGTAAACATTAAGTGGCGACAAAAATGTCTAGTGAAATGATCTGATAACTAAGCTTTCCCAACTGTTAATCCAAATAAAAGTAAGTAACGGCTTGCGCAATTACATCCAATAACTGTTAATATTCGGAATGGCACGGTGGTCATTTATTCGTTTTCCAGTCTTACGACTTGTGCTCCAATCCTGCCGAGTTATTGTCTATATTTTATGAAGAGTTTTTCCAGCAATAATCGTTCCGCTCTGCATTCTCTCTCTGTGATTTCTTCAGGCTACAGTGTCTTGCATATGGAGAACCCCTGACCCAAGAGTGGAGCCAAAAGCCTGTTTTCGGAACTCATTTTTCTCAAGGGGATGAACATAAATTGCCAATAATTATCTTCCTGTAATCGTTGTGGTCTTTCAAAGGTGTGCGGCTTCATTTTTTCGCGTTCCACACACCTTTGGAGAATAGGCAGTACATAGCGCCAAAACATACATTCTCTCTATAAATGCATTTTAACAGGCTTAGCCTGTTTTTCTCGGGGGCAACATGCATGGCCCCGTTGCCCCCTTCCCCACCCCTCCGATCCATCTTTGTCCTTACCTGATGAGCTAGTTCGTGAGATACAACCACTGCCACGCGTTGTTTGTTGCTGGCAGAGTTTAGTACAGGATCGTACAGGAGTGCCGTCTCACGGTAAAGAATCAAGCCCCAGTTCTCCATAGCACCTGCACTAAAATCTGGGATAGCCACCATGTCTATGGGACATCCAAATAAAACCTCCAATAAAGTTATTCGGCCTCATGTAAATTTGTACATCTATCATGTTTAGAAACATTTTAAATATATTTTTCAAGGTGTAATGAATCGCCGATTTTTTTTCCAGGCAGAGTACAATCGCATGTATCGAGATCTTTTGACACACAAGACAAATGAGAAATTATTTCAGATTGAAAGGCATAATTTTATATTAGTTTTACACTGAAGAGTGTAAGAGAAGAAAGAACAAAACAGAAAGCTATGAAAATTTAACTGATATAAGCGACATGGTATAAGAATTCAGACCTAACGTTTATCGTTGCTCAATGAACGGGTCCAAACCTTAGTTTGAGTCAACAATCGCTCCACATACCTTGTTTTTCTAGGGGATAGGCGAAGTCAAAGTATTCTTCGAAATAAGTCAGGATTCTTGTGCCGACGTCCAATGCGTAGCGAGTGTTCTCAACGGCATCCGGGCGTGACCAAACCCTGAACTATCGTAATAAATTTGTTTTTTTAAATAATTGGTTATCTTAACATGGCATGAGGTAAGTAAACTTCTCTGTGTCACCGTCGCAAATGTCCACGTCTTGTATCAAAGGAACGAATTCAAAATCGACACTTTACACATTCGAAAAATTGGGTGCCATGAGTCATTACATACGACCACGTGGTACCGATTGATGTCAATTCAAACATCACACACTCTCCGTTCATAACCCCAAGATGCTTGTACCCATTGAGCGTCAAAAGTGGAAAACCCCATTTTCTCATTTTCTACTGGTAGATTCTCGGAATTTTGGACTTTGCCTAAAGTATTTTCAAAAAACGCAATTTTCCACTTGGAGAAATTTGGATTTTACTTTAACAGCTCTCGTGGCGCGTCAAAAGTGGACAACAAAAAACGTCAAATTCCCACTGGCAAAATTACTGTCATGCTCCAAAGGTGGACAACGCCATTTTCTCATTTTTTGCAAGTAGATTTTAGGGTTTGGGAAATTGGCGTAAAGCATTTTCAAAAACCTCAATTTTCTGCTAGCAAAAATTGGGATTTTACTGTAAGAAGTCTTCGTAGCACGTCAAAAGTGGACAACTAAAAACTTCAAACTTCCACTAGCAAATTTAGTTGATGCTCCCAAAGAAGACAACCCCATTTTCTCATTTTCTGTCAGAAGATTTTCGGATTTTTTGAAGTTGCACCATGCCTTTTCAGAAAACCAATTTTTTTTACATGCAGAAATTTGGATTTTACTTTGATGACTGCAAGGTGGTCCAAAAGTGGACAAGTTAAAAACTGGACGGACACTTTTCTCCCTACGTTAAAATTGAACGGTCTTGGAAAGATTGGCATCACCCGACCCTAAAAAAAAATAATGTGGACGAAAGTTGCGAAGTGGCTGCCAGAGTGATGGTCTTCTGTAGTACTGCAAAGGTGCGGAGCCGTCTGTTGACGGGTATCAGGCGTCATTTGGGCATTCCCTTGCTGCTTTTTCATGCAACTTGTATTTCATTCTAGCCGATTTTGTGAAAAAGATCAGACCTTCTTCACGTCAAGGATGTGAATTTTATGGAATTTATCGGAGGGGAGTATTATTTTAAGGAAAATTACTGAAAATAAGATTTCGAGGATTGACAAAAATTATGAACTGAGTATAGTGGAAGTTACTCGGAGTCCCAAAAGTGCAACAACCATTTTTTCACCAATTCACCATCCATGTATTTCACAGTACACGTATCTGATGACTGCTCTGGTACGTCACTTGAAACTGTGTGTTTTCATTGCATTTATAACTCTCCACATTGTCACTTTGAATCATTTGTCTTCATATAATAATGACCCAGGCCTCCACTATAACTGCCCGCTTGTATTGATGATTTGAACAAAGATTTGCATGATAAATATTAAATTAAATCTTTGATGTCATATCAGTGACCGACAGGTGTACTGGCTGAAAGATTTATTTTCGTCGTGGCTATCCCTTTTTGATTGGAATTATTGGCTGAATACGTGTTTTGGAATTTGTGGGGTGTCAAAATTAATTCAGCAAGTTCAAGTTGCATTTTATTGTTTCCCATTTTACTTTCTCTATTTTTCCCCTTTTTGAAACTCGTGGTTCACTTGATTTAACAGCATTTAGCTTCTTCTCTTAACACGATGTTTTGCAATTCAGACCTTTTTTCATTGCACAACAAATTCAAGTATACTACTGGACAAGGACAAAATGGTTTGTTACAGCTAGCCTCGTTTACGGGACACATATCATCATGTGCTCACTTATTTAAAACGGAAATGTCCAACGGGAAGCCGCCACCATCTTTCTAATTACACGGGTGCTGGGGAGTTTGCAGCACCAAAGAGGACTGTCAGGCTTTCGGCGGCCGGTTTCTGAAAGTCGCTCAATAGGAATCATCCACATTTTGTCCAAGCTGTAACGCCATCCGTCAGACCACTGACCCTCTACCGTTAATTTTGGACTCCCCTCTTCCCAAGACCGTTCCATTCTGAGCGTAGGGAGTACAGCGGTCGTTTCAGTTTTCAACTTGTCCATTTTTGGACCACCCCGCCGTGGGCAAAGTAAAATCCAAATTTCTGCTAGCAGAAAATTTGGTTTTATGAAAAGGGGTGTTGTAACTTTAAAAAACCCGTACATCTAAAAAACCTCTAAAATGGGGTTGTCCTCTTTGGGCGGATCAAATAAAATTTTCTAGTGGTAATTTGAAGTTTTTAGTTGTCCGCTTTTGACGCGTGAGTTTTTGAAATTGCTTTACGCAAATTCCCCAAACCCGAAAATCTACAAGCAGAAAATGGGGTTGTCCACTTTTGAAGCATGATAGTAATTTTGCCAGTGGGAATTTGAAGTTTTTAGTTGTCCACTTTTGACGCGCCACGAGAGTTGCTAAATAAAATTCAAATTCCTGCTGGCGGAAAATTGCATTTTTTAAAAATGCTATACGCAAAGTCCAAAATCTCGAAAATCTACCAGCAGAAAATGAGAAAATGGGGTTGTCCACTTTTGACGCTCCATATGTACCACACAACACGACGGTAATTCAATATTGTTGCTTTTTTCAAACAGGGAGATACAGCAGCCCTTACCGGGAGCCAAAACGTCTTTTGCACGTTTCGACACAACAAACAAGTATATGAATGATTAAAATAAAAGCAGAAATCAAAATGAACTGGTCATAACAAATTCTATATTGGTATACTTCAGTAGAAACCTGTTATTACAAGGAATACGACTGAACAGAAAATATCATAAACAGCACAAAACAGAGCCACTTAATAGAATTATGAGAAATTTCGACCCCCCTCCCCACCTTACAAATAATTAGGTTTAATTCCAAGGCCAAGAGAACTGTCAGCAGACGAATACAAACAGAACAGACGACAACGGCGTGAGCAAATTTCTTACCAAGATTCCGTTTTCGGTAGTGGCGTTAGTGTACTTGAAATCGCACACAACAAAAGCCAGCAGGTATGTAGACATCTCCCGGATGCGCTTGTAGCGGGTCACCACCCAGCGACCATCAGTACCCACGGGCACTTTGATCTCCCCGTCCCGTTCGATGCCGTTGGCTAGCGCTGTCATATGAGACCTGTGGATAATCTCGACGTCAAAGACGGCCTTGAAGGCGGGCTCGTCGAAGCATGGGAGGGCCCTCCTGGCGTCCGTGGGCTGCATTTGGGTCGTTGCGATCCATCTTACCAGAAAAGGGGAAAAGATGACAGTGAGCCCCACAATATTGTTGGAATTGGTCGTGCTTTCAATTCTCTCAAAGAAAATGAGCAAAGTTATAAATATTTTCTCCATGGGTGAGCATCCTTTCATCACTGGTACGTAAATGAAGAATACGGTATGGATAGTTAGCGTGCACTGGGCCCACAGGGATTGTTCGGTAACTCAATCATCCGTCAATGTATCGATTATTCCGTTACATTTTCCACTCAGTTAATCAAACCCCTTTTTAAAAATAAAGACTCCCTTTCAGAAGATGCATGACTTTAAAACAAAAAGTTTCATCTTCTGAGAAGTATATTAAAAAACAATGAAACCTTTTAAACATGTAGGAAATACACAATATGGGCCTAATTATAGTTGATGGCTAATGCCTATTAAGCAGGCGGGGCTCCTCAGCTAATAATGAATGATCGACCTACGCTTCTCTGTTTTTGTAAACCTGTGCTGTTTCATTATTGTGGATTAAATATTACGTACAAGTTATGGCGTATGCTTTGCTTAGCTTTCTCTATTTCTTTTGCTCCGTAGGAGGCAACATGCAATATAACTACTGACAACAGATCCTTGAAGAATAATTAATTCTCCATGCCATGCCCTGATCCATTGCAAGTGCGGATCCAGGAGGTGGGGGGGTCAACCCCTCTCTTCTCATTGACATTTTCAAGGGCCTACGTCGGTCTTCAGGATGGAATGCAGTTAAGGACAAAACAGAGTTTAAATAGCTTCACCAACGGAGACAACTACATGAAGTACCCAAATTGTAATACCTAAAATTCCCAATTTACCCTTGCAAAAATATTATAGGTCTACCCCTGCTATGTAATTCAGTTATCCAAGAAATGAGTAAAACTGGCTAAGAATTTCTGGACTGGGCTTGGGTAGGAAGCTTCCATTCTAGATCTAGAGATTGCATCACTCTCAAGGCTACGTCATTGCTATACTATTTTATGTAGAGGATCAATAAGTCAATTATGTAACGGTATAGGAGAAGGTATATTTAGTGATCTTATCATGATCTTATCATTTCGGTTCAAAAGTCAGAGATGACAAAAATGCATTGTCACACCGAGCCACGATTTTGTTACTGCACCTAAGTGCAGTTATGCAAAGCTCGGACTTGATGTCAATCGCCCAAACTGGCGAAGTCAATCTCATTCAACTGAACAATGTTGGCTTTTTTCAATTCGATTTGAACACAGTGTCGCCGGAATTACCTTCCCTCGTTTGTAGCGCTAATTTGATTGCCACTAAAGACAGATTGTTAAATTTGTAATTTGAGTGATTACAGATATACGGCGATCAAATTCAAATATTAAAAGGTATGCTCATTCAATTTACAAGCAAAAACATTCTTATACGTCCATGCCGCGGGTCTTGAGAATAAGGTCCGCAGATATCATAAAGGTGCAGGCATCCTCGACTATTTTTTCACAGGAATTCACATACATCACCTATTCCACTCGGATCAGAAGCAAAATTGAAACGAGCACATATCCATAATTTTTGTAGGAATCTAATTGTAATTAATATTAAAATTAGAAGGAATGCAGCTTAATGATCTAAGAATACTGACCAAAGAAAATTTACAACAATTTTATATAAATATAAAACACTACGGATGAGTGCAGTGGTCAAGCTTTTGTTCATTTAATGCTAAATGTTATACAATTATGTTGCTAGAGGGGTACACTTTGGCTGTCATTTGGGCCTACTTCATAGGAATCAGGCAGTCCTTCGTCAGTTAATTTTTTTTACCGTTAATATCAATTTTGCAGACGCGTTAATTAAGTTCTCAAATCTCCCAAACGTGAAACATAAAGTGACGCAAAATAAACATCCACGGTTGCACAGTGATGCAAAGAGAAACATGGATCGAAGGCAGAAACCTTAACGTGTAGCAAACTGGGTAGCAATTGCATGCTGTTTAATCATATAACGCATTTTCCTTTTAAATCACATTGTGAAATGTTTATAAACGAAATATAGAACGCCATGAAAGGATGAAAATAGGCCCTAAGCATGGATGAATTGATTATTAGCAGCAACAGAGTCGTACTTCCTGAAACAAAACCAAAGGCATTTCTGATATATTTCTTTAGAGTCTTTATACTTAAAATACAACATATAGTTCAGGACAAACGTCACACATTCCCATGCTTTGCGTAGCCAATTGAATGGGGAACATGGTACAGCTTATTAACTATAGGTTAAAGTAAATGGTTACTGCTGGCGTCTCAGTATAGTGCCATCAAAATGAACTGCGATCGAGAAACATTTTCTCAGAGATAATTTCTTAACGTAGATTGTAAATTCGAACGACCTGAAAGCTGCCAACCGGCGTTGGACCCCTTTTTATTTCACCAACTCTGCACAAAGAACGGCGAACGATACTTGTCATAACCCCGCATCGCTTCTTGCAATGCTCGTGGCAATCGTTTAGCTTTGCTTGACCCTTGTTCCGAACACGAACGAATATCTTGTCGTACTTCTTTTGTTTGTTGTATTGTATTTTATCGTCCACCGAAGTTGTATGAAGTACTATCCACCGGAGTATTTAAATGAAGATTAAATTGACCGTACTAGGGGAATTTTTATCTTGTTCATTCGACCTTTTGAAGAGCTGAGTTGTTCCTGATGTTCTCGAAATCAAAGGAAAAATCGAAATAGGATAAATAACACGTTGGTGTCACATTTTTGTAAAAGCAAACAGATACATGTTCTGTGATTCATTTGTGTTGTTATTAGGATATCACGGTCTGCGTTATCCATCCAAGTCACCATCACGCTCATGTCGGGCAAAATAAAGAGACCAAGACCTATGTATACTCTGACATTTGAACTTCTAAGTAGCCCTTGAGAATAGACCTTCGTCGCAAAGAGTATATTATGCAGTATTTAAAATGAAAGCACTCTTCTTCCCTTGTTTTCAGGAAACAATGGAACGAAACAGAGCCCTTTTCCCCAGAAAGTTTTGTTTTCGATTTGCATGGTCTGACCTCTTTTGTAATGGCTATTTATTATATCTGTTGGCAGAGGTACCGGTATCTATGACTATCGACTATCCGAACAGTAAGCCTTTTTGTTTATAGATTACCATATCTTCTCTTAAATGTTATAATCAAATGACACGACGTAATTGACACAAGACAGGAAAGTCAATCTATTTGAGCTTGTTTTGTTGCTTTTTCATGACCTATAAATACAAACGCACTTTCTTAAATTCGAGGCCAATTTTACGATTCCTGGACATACTGAATGACGTACTGATGTAAAGTTATTCCTTCCATTTTAAACTTAGTCATTCGTACCTTATTTTTTATCGTATCGATTTCCTTTCGGAGTGAATTTTTAAGGAATATGATGTCCTGTAACAAATACAGTTGCTAAGTCATAATTGCAGGCTTTTATGTAGTTTAAAAAGTGCCTTTAGTATTCGCTCGTCGCCCAGCGCCCACACAGGGCCCTCAGAAGGGCAAATCGCTTTGATCTCTTAATGGCCAAAGTTAGACGACCTGTTCATCACTTCCTTTTGATTTTCTACTGCAATTACATTGAAATGCTGCGTCTTGAATCGCCATCAATAGTATTCACACAATGCCAACAAAAGTAGAGGTACAGAACTGGCCAGGTATTTTTCAATCGATCGGTTTCCGAAACCCTAGTTGTCCCAGCAGCAATGGCAGCTATTCCACACACCACATCAAACTTCTTTCAGAATTTTGCCTGGCGAGCCTTAAATATTGCGCTAACACGCACAAAACTCAAAAAGTTCTAAGCGAAATCGGTAGGACTGTAACTATATATTCATAATGTAGGTCTGTTTGTTTTACATGGATCTGGATCTCGATCAGTTGTTCTGAAGCTGTTTCAATCCGTCCATCAGGCGGGATCTGGTGTCAGTGAACGCCATCGTGATCTGCCAAAACAAACACGCCCCTAGTGACGTGACCAGCTAGTATACCTTGATTACGCATCACGCGTTTTCGACGCTTGCATTGTGCAGAGCATACAGTCGCAATACGGGCGTTTCACAATAGTGCGCCTCCAAGAGTTTGCAACGCGTTGGCCAACCACAATGCTCGAAATCTGTAGACCCAATGCGCGTGTGGAAATGGTCAATAATGATTTCGCGCGTTGTGATAGGCCACGTGTTGCAAACTTTTGGAGGCGCACAACTGTGAATCGCCCATAGTACACGCATTATTGCTTTCGACACTCCGCTGCGAGCGGAAACGAAAGAGTGTCTGTTTGAAATGAAATTGACCGTCCTCTGCTACGCATTTACGGCATAGGCGCGCAAGTTTATACGCGTTTGACACGGAGCATGCTGAGAACGCGCGAGGAATTTAGTCAGGAATGTATGATCTTCGCGTGCACGCCGAACGCGAGCAAGAACCCGTTTGGAATTACCATCTGTCTTTCTTGCACCTGTTAGGACGCACTTCAGCCCAGGGCGGATCACAGACATGACCACCAGGTCCTATTCAAAACTACAGGGTTTTTTCCGTTATCTGCGCGTCACCCGACTAAAATCAAAACTATGGGCAAATTCACCCCTCGATATAGGGAATTTACGCACACTTGAAGAATTCCAGCCGTAAAATTCTATAAAGCCATTTTTCGATTGTAAAAAACCCATCTATTTACTTAATCTGCCCCAAGGCATTGAAAACAATGCGGTTACAACAGCTGAAAAAACAAGGATAGAAGTACCGAAGAGGAAAAAGGTGAATGTATTTGGAAGTACATGTAAACAAATAATAGCAATGGTAAAGTGAGTTGCGCGTAATGCGCACTGGACGCGCTGCCATCCACCGTTCCGCCCATTACTTGCCCATACTTTTCGGGTGCGGTCGCATGGTTACTCCTGCTAACACGAGTGGGATGCGTGCGCATTACACTCGAGTACAGGAGTATACTGCCCCTCTAGCGAGAGTACTCTCGCTGACCCCGGGGCGTACT